CTGCTGACCATAAATAATAGTTAGAAACAATACCCACTGCTTTTACTAAGGCAGCCAGATATTTGCTCAAAATCTTACTGAGGCAAAGGTGTGCTATCCCAAAGCAAGGTACTATCATTGCTACTGCTAGCAGTAGAGAGACAAGAGTCAGTCAATCATTTTCAAGATTCTGTTTCCATAGTGTGGATTACACAGATATAGCAACGTTGAAGCTAATGATCTCTGGCAATCACATTCATTCTCATTTGGCACACTGAATCATATCTGTTGCAGGCAGGTGGGTCTGATTTTTAAGAACGCTTCTCACAACACTATTGTCTTCATCATTTCAACTAATTATTCATCTTTTATTGAACTTTCAGCTTTTATCAGAAGGACAAAGTAACTTTGAGAGCAGAAAAAAATTATAAATAGTAGAGACAGCATCTACAAGTAATTAAGGATTCAGTATGGAATCTGAGAAATTCTAGTCTGTAGTGAAAATATGAATCCTTGAGTAAATGCATTTCTGAGAACAATTCACTGTAGTTAGACAGCTGGCAGCCATTGTTTGCTGTTTGAATCTATTGTTTGCTCATTTTTGTTTTAAGCTTCCTTTCTGCCACATCCACCTGTTTTCCTTCATTTCTAATTTAGACTGAAGATTCCTTTTGGCAAGAACATTTTATATCAGTAAAGATGCTCTGCGACCTTCAGGGAACTTGCATCCTTTCTTTTGGCCAAATTCTACCATTTTGTTTCCTTCAGATTCCCACATGTGATTTGGACAAAACAAAGCTGTAGGCATATATCTTCTTCCTGTAACAGTATGCCAATTCAAGAAGTTATTGCCCAAGGTTTCTTATTACCAGTACTTTAGACATTCCAACTATAAAGATTGGTTTAAAAAAACTATTCTTATTTTCAATTAAAAATCATGCTGTTGCACCTATATGGTGTGAAAAGCAGCTCTAAGGTATGCTGTTTAATACAGGTAGAAAACTTCTACAGCAGAGTTCAAAATGGACAAATGAACAACATAATACCACACTGCTATCTGGAGAGAAGCAGCTCTATAGTCATCTCCCACAATGGCTGGAGGTGCCACAGGTTCATCTAGAATTGCCTGCATTCAGAACATGTGGCAAAGGCTGATAGTTACATATATGTATATAATAAGACCGGTCTCAAATCTGTCATCCTATATGCAAGATGATACTGCAGCATAGGGTGTGAGAAAGGAAGATGTGTTCCAATTATATTTTTTTCTCCTGAAGAAAAAAAAAAAAAAAAAAAAAAAAAAAAAAAAAGGTGTGTGATATTTATATGTTTTAAAGTATGTAAATTACATTATAGAAGATATGTAGTAATTAGTAAGCAAACTGGTTTCTCTATCGTTTATTATTATTATTTCTAAAATAATAGCTTTCATTGATGGATAACTACTAAAAAAAAAATCTTCATATTATTCAATATTTATTTCTTTTATTTTAAGCACATCCTCTCTGTGATATTTCAACACTCCAGAACCACTATTTTAGAATAGCTGATAGAGAAAAGCTATCTACTTGGATTCTGGGGGGAAAAAAAAAAAAAAAAAAAAAAAAAAAAAAAAAAATCTGAAATCACATACAGATTAGATCTATCAGAGTTTTGAATTATTTTTGATTTCCTGAGACTTGTTTGTGAAAATATATTTGAGTATTTTCAGAACACAATTCAGGGGACATTCTGCAACTCCTGACAATAAACATATGTAAAACACAGATGGGGAATCAACGGTTTTGAAGAACTAAAATTATTTGGTCTCCAGATAATTGTTTTTCTCTTGTATGACTAATTTTTCTTAAAATAAATGAATAAATAATATGATATGTGAGGAAAGAAAAGTTCAACACCAAAATTTATGGGTATTCTTATCTCACTTTTTGTTGTTTAAAATTATTTTCATCAGGTTAGGTCAATAGAAAAACTCAGGAAGTTCTACTCTGAATAATTTTCCCCTTCTTTTTCCCAGTGTAGATTAAACATTTCTAAGAGGTTTTTACAGATCTGAATACTATATGAACACTTGGAGATTTACCCATAACAAATCATGGTGCTTTATACTCTAGTTAAAACACACAGTTGTTTATTTTACAAATTAGAAGTAACAAAAAAGCTATTTCTAGACAAAAGATAGGAATGGCTTAAAATCATAGATCGACTATTTAAATTAAACTCATACAGGAAAAGCAGAAGTTACAGGGCTTTTTTTGTCCTTTAAGCATAGGATTAATTTTACTGTCCATTTACAAAAGCAATATTTTCCAAGGCCTCCTTTCAAGTCATGAATATTTTACCCAGAGCTCCCTGAGAGGGAGAGAAATAGCTTTTCAACCAGCTGGTGCAGGGTTATATTTGGCATATGGAGCCTGGATTCAGTTATTGACTTAGAAGCCCATGAATACTCCCCTAACAACAACACTGTGTAATACACATCGTTGGGGAACTCTTTAAAACAGATTTCTAAGGTATCTAGCCTTCTTGTCTTTAACAACACAACACACTGTAAAGCAGAAGACTTGAATGTAGATCAGGTTGATAAGATCCTGAGGCTGGAAGAAGCTGGGGAGTTTTCAAACACAAAGTAAACTCTCTGAATTTGTTTAACAAAAAAGAAATATAAATGCCTTTTCACTAGTCCTTAGAAGCATTTTACACTCATTTTAAATGATATGTTAGTTGAACATGCTGAATTAATAGCGTTTTAGGAAAGATACCTTTTACACAAGTCACACATACAGCACAAAAAAAAAAACAGCATAAGCTTTCTTTTCTCTTGACTGCCATAGAATTCTGTATGTTCCCTTTATAGCTTCAAGATTTTATATCATGTGGTTTCAATTAAATATTTTTTCTTTCCTTTTAGAAGAGGCAATTCAAATTATTTTTCCTGTTTAGCCAATTCATTCTTCTCAGTAAAATTACTTATAACATTACTTTTTTTTTTTTTCTTTTTTAATATATTTGCAAATTCTCTTGATCATTTGCCTGACAAAAATAATATAAGTTCCGTATAAGCTGAATAGTTCAACCCATGTGTTGTGTTGGCATGTAACAGCTGGGATCTATCACTGCCAAGTGATAATTAAACAAACTTGGCACGAGATCTCTGGGAAAAGTTTTGTATGCAAAACTGAACTGTGTATCTTCTCAGGAAGTTTCTTGTGGGTGTGTGAAAATTGAATACATCTGACTTTCTGGGGTGTTTTACTTAATCATTTGCTAGGAGCGAAGACAATTTAAACTCGCTTAAACACTGTGAGGTTAACTATGAATACTGTTAAATTCTGAAAAGTCATTAAACTGCAGAATTCTGGAAAATTTACCTTTTTTAGGGAACCAAAGCAAAATATGACTTCCTAGCAGTATTCACAATTCATTAATTCTGACTAATTTCCAGACTGACAAAAGAGTAGTGTAAATTTTATAATGACTTTGGTTAAAGGGAATATTGTAGATTCATTACACAAATTATATACACAAAATTAAGTATTTATTTCAGTTTGAACTCTGGTTCTGAGAATGATGTATACTCAAAAAGGTAATCAAAACTTCAGAATGATTGAGGTTTAGAATATTGAAATATTTTATATTTATTTTTGTGGCCTTAAATACAGTATGAAATTCAAGCACAAATGATATATTGGTAGAAATTGACTAAATACACCATTACCTCCCCATTTAGAGATTCCCAAAGGATGACAATCAGAATTTATTTGTGTGGCATGTATATACAAGTAAATAAGATTGTAATATAGAAATGAGAGAAGGAATGAAGCTTTCCGAAGAATCTGCCATGAATAATTTGGTCATCTCTAGCTATTAACCATGGATATTTGTGACAAAAAGGACTACGTGGGAATGTAAGACTGGAATCAATATGTCAATTCAAGTGTTTGTACTACAGGCTGTTGCACTGTGATGTTTGAACCAGAATAAATTACTTGAAAAGAACTCTGAATTTATGAGTGAAATCTTCTTACTTATTCTACTGGCAATGGATAAAACTGTTTTGGAGTTGTGCTAGCTCTTCTCAGAAAAGGCTTGAAATTTATTAAAATTTTGTTTGTAGCAATGCAACTTTTTTCCCCTTGAAGTAGTTCAACCTAACATAGAGTACCTTTTAAAGGGCCAAACAAACTTTTTATTTGGTCAGATGTATCAGGAAGCAGCTGTGAATAAATAGAAAGCCTTCACTGCTGTAATTCTCATATTGTCTGCCCTTTAGCAAAGTATTTTTAATTTAGCTTTCCTTTTCTACTTAATTATTATACAGCATGTGGAACACAGAGAAGGTAACATAAACACGATTCTATGGAGCAGGACAGGATCCATCGAAGTGTACTGAAGGAAATATCAGAAATACTCACAAAGCCACTTTTATTAATTTTCCAGCAGTTTTAGCTAAGCAGGGAAGTCTTACTTGAGCAGAGGTTAGTAAATGTGACAACTGTTTATATGAAGGACAGGAAGATCTAAGGCCTGTCACTGTGACTTTAGTGCCAGGGATGGTCATGGAGCAAATAATCTTGATGGCTATCACATAAGATGTATAGGACAATCAGGTGATTGGACCAAGTTATCATGGATTAATGAATCACATGTCCTGCTTTACTAAACTGATCTTCTGCTATGATAAGAGGACCTGCTTAGTGGATGAGGGAAATGCTGTGGATGCTGTTTATTTTATCAGAACATTTGATAAAGTTTCCAAAAGCATTCTGCTGGAGAAACTAGCTGCCTGTTTTTGGATTGACATACTGTTTTGTGGATAAAAACAGGCTGTACGGAAGAGCCCAAAAGATCAGTATGAATGAGTGCTTCCTCAGAGTCTGCAGATGACACCAGGTTATGCAGGACTGTTGATCTGTTCAAGGAGTCAGTGAGGAGAGTTGTGCTATTTGATGTTTCTACTAACAAGGAAGGGTGATCAGGGATGTAAAGATTGGGGTAGCTTGGAATGCAGTGATCATGAGATGACTGAGTTCAAGATCTTGCGTGGAAGTAGTAAAGCAACAAATAGGATTGCTACCTGGTTTTCAGGAGAGCCAACTTTGACATCTTCAGTGACCTACTTCAATGACCTATTTGGAAGTATCCCATGGGCAAGAGCTTTAGAAGGTAAAGGGACCCATGAGAGCTGGTTGACATGTAAATGTCACTTCTTCTGCTCAAGGTCTCTGCATCCCTAAGAAAATGAGGGAAAGATGGCATGAGTCCTGCATAGATGAGCAAGGAACAGATGGATAAACTAAAAGGAAAGAAGAATGTTCATGAAATGTGGAAAAAGGGCATGTCCACTTGGGAAGAATACAGAAAAATGTCAGGGCCTGTAGGGATAAAAAGAGGAAGATAAAGCATTCTTGGAATTAAATCTTGCAGAGGAGGTAAAAGATAACAAGAAAGGATTTTTAAGTATATCAAAAGTAAAAAGAAGACTATGGAAAATGTGGGTTCCCTACTAGATGAGGAAGGTGCTTTGGTAACAGGGGACATGAGAAAGTAGAGATTATAAATTCCTTTTTTGCTTCAGTCTTTAATGCTAAAACCAGCCCACAGGAATCCCAGATTCTGAAGATAAGAGAGAGAGTCTGGGGAAATGAAAACTTCCTGTTGATCGAGGAGGATTTGGTCAGAGACTGTCTAACGAAAATCAATGCAAATGTATCCATGGGCCCTGATAGGATACAACCATGTGTGCTGAGAGAGCTGGCAGAGGTGGTTGCTGAAATTCTCTCTATCATCTTTGAAAGGTCCCAGTGAATAGGAGTGGTGCCTAAAGACTAGAGGATAGCCAGTGTCACTCCAGTGTTCAAAAAGTGCAAGAAGGAGGATCTGGGAAACTACAAGCAAGTCAGCCTCACCTCCTTCCCTGGAAAAGTGATGGAATAATTTGTTCTGGCTACATTCTCCAAGAATTGGAAGACAAGAAGGTTACCAGGAGTAGTCAGTATGGATTCACAAAGAAAAAATCATTCTCAAAGAACCTGGTAGCTTTCTGTAACATCATCACTGGCTGGATGGATGGGGAGAGAGCAGTGGATGTTGTGTACTGTGACTTCAGCAAGGCATTTGACACCATCTCCCACAAAATCATTCCTATGAAATTTAGAACGTGTGGATGAGTGGACAACAAGGTGAATTGAAAACTGCCTGACTGGAAGAGCTCAGAGGAACATCATCAGAAGCACAGAGTCTGATTGGAAGCCCGTAACTAGAAGTGTTCCCTAGGGGTCAGTACTGGATCCAGTCTTGTTCAGCATTTTCATTTACAACCTGAATGAAAGGAGAGAGTCCATCCTCAGCAGGTAGGTTACAAAGCTGTGAGAAGACTGTGCTACCATTCAACAAGACCTGGACAGACTGGAAAGCTGAGCAGGAAGGAACCTGATAAGGTTTAACAAGAACAAGCATAGAGTCTTGAGCATACAAGAGGAACAACCACATGCATCAGTACAGGATAGAAGACAATCTGCTGAAGAGGAGCTCTCCAGAGAAGAATCTGGGTGTTCTGGTGGGCAACAGATTGGCCATAAGCCAGCAGTATGCCCCTGTGGCCAAGAAAGCCAGTGGCGTCCTGAGATGCATTAAAAAGAGCATGGCCAGCAGATTGAGAGGGGTGATCCTCTCCTTCTACTCTGTCCCAGTGAGGCCACATTTAGAATACTGTGTCTATTACTGGGCTTCCCAGTTCAAAAAAGATAGAGATCTCCTAGCAGTAGTACAGCGAAGGCACACAAAGATGATAAAGGGCCTGGAGCATCTCCCACATGAGGAAATGCTGAGTAACCTGAATCTGTTTAGCCTGGGGAAAAGAAGACTGAGAAGTGATCTGATTAATGTTTATTTGCCACTAATGGATCCAAAGTAATACAGAAGAAGCAATTTTCAATTGTATATTATTGTTGGTGTCATAAAATACGAAAACAAAACAACAAAACAAGCAAGTATAATCCACTTTGAATTTATAAATTAAAAAAAAAAAAAAAAAAAAAAAAAAAAGATTAGTAGCCTTAAAATTTCCAGGTTATTAAAACAGTTTTGAAAATAGTGTGGTAACAGAAATTTCACAGAATTAAGTAACCATGCTTTGTAACATAACAAATCTTGGAACATAGCTTGAAAGTTTTCATCCCAGCCCACATTATATAAAGATATCACAGAAAAGCAACAGAGCATTCTATAAATCTTCTGTCTGCCACGAAATATAGAAATGTTTCCTGGGGAAGTGAAGTTGGTATTTCTTTGGGAATACAGTGGTCATTGAGGTGGCATGATGTAGGAACTTTTTAATGCAGATCAATACTGGAAATCCATTTGGATGGGTATGGAAAGTCTAGTGTTAGTCCATAAACTTTTGAAAGAAAAATGAAAGACCAGAAAGCTGGGGTAATGTAAAAATAAATAAATAAAATAAAATAAAATAAAATAAAATAAAATAAAATAAAATAAAATAAAATAAAATAAAATATTTTTTTAAAAAAGACTGGTATGTAGTAAAATAGGCAGAAAGTGCAGGCAAAAAGCCTTACAGTACATAACTAATTTACTGTCATTAATGCTAAGTTACTAAATAGAAGTCCTGCTGTTAGGAGATACATGACAAGTTACCTGTATGACAATGACCTCTTGTAAAATTGTAAAGACTATTATTGTTACTTTGCATACAGTGCTGAAGTAGTTGGAATATATTTTTAAAACAAAAATGAAAAAAAGAAACAACAAAAAACCCTCTCACTTATGTAAAGATACAAGCATGTATTTTCAATGTGTACAGGACCGTGATCACCTTTCACATTACTGAAGAATCATTGGTGCTAAAGACCAGTCTGACTACTTATAGAAATATCTGATACTAAAGTGTTTGTAGATATCAGCAGGAGGAAAAGCAAACATTCAATTAAATGGAATAATCTACAATACAAAAGATAATATTGTAAAAGCATGCCTTTACAGTTGAAATTCATAGGGTTTTTGTTTGTTTGTTTGTTTGTTTGTTTGTTTGTTTGTTTGTTTTCTGTCAGTCATAATCACTTCAGTGTAATCAGATGGTTCATATTTCTCAGAATGTTTGAATCTCATTAAAAAATGTGGGTAATGTCTTATTGTATTGGGTTTATGAGGCAAAGTTTTACAGAATCATGGAATGGCTTGGGGTGGAAGAGACATTTAAGAACATCTAGTTCCTACCCCCCTGCTCTAGGCAGGGACAGCTCTCTCAAGACCAGGTTGCTTAGAGCCCCATCCAGCCTGGCCTTGAATGCTTCCAGGGAGGAGGCATCCACAGCCTCTCTGGGCAACCTGTTCCAATGTCTCACAACCCACACAGTAAATAATTTCTTCATAATATCTAGTGTAAATCTACCTTCTTTCCGTTTAAACCCATTTCCCCTTGTCTTGTTTTGATAGTAAAGGAGCTGTAGAGATCGCTTCTTTGAGAAGAGCCCAGAAATAGCCATGTTAGTCTCCATTCTCCACTGTCCAAATTTGAAGCAGTGAATGACATCGGTTATGCCTCTGAGAGTGTATTCAGAAAGTGAAATGCTGTTGTTCAGCAACAACAGGGACAGAGGAGTAAAATAATTTAGAGAAACAGCCCTGCACAATCAAAGGTAAGTGCAGAAGGAGGGAAGGAGGTGTTCTGGACACTGACCAGAAGGCAGGTCCATGGGGGAGCAGGCTGTCCTATGGGCACTATGTGGAGCAGATCTCCAGTTGCAACCATGGAGCATCACATGGGACAACAGTAGATGTGGCCTGAAGGAGGCTGTAGCTCTTGGAGAGCCTCTGAAGAAGCAGCCCAGGGCTGGAGGGGCAACCCATGGAGACCCATGCTGGAACACTGTTTTCCTTGAGGACATCAATATTGAAACAATTCTTGAAGAACTGCAGTCTGCAGGAAGTCCCCTTGGATCAGTTAGGGTATGACTCTGGGAATGTCTTAGGGTATGACTCTGCAGTGAAGCAGGGGAAGAGTGGCTATGAAGTAACAGCAAAAATAAAGTGTTATTGATGGACCACAACCCCCATTCCTCATTCACCTGTGCTGCTTGGTGGGAGAAGGCAGAAGAGGGTGGATATAGCAAAGGTGTTTTTAGCTTGTTTTCAGTTCTCACTGCTCTAGACTGTTATCAATGTGCAATAAATTACACTAATCTCCCTATGTTGAGTCTGTTTTGCCCTTGATGATTATCAGTGACTAATTTCCATGTCTTTATTTCAACCTAGAAGCTTTTTCATCATGTTTTCTTTCTGTATTCTGTTGGGGAGGAGTAATGACGTAGTGGTGCGGTGATGTTCCTCTATCTAGCATTATTAAACCAACATAATTGTTCACTTTTCTATTGTCCAAAATTCTGTGTATCTCAGTATAAATTACTTGCATACTTTTTTTTATGTGTGTGTGTGTGACTGTGTGTAAATATAATAAGGATCTCAAATGGCTCTGATTTACCTTCAACACAGTCCAGCTGAGGCTCTGCATGATCTGACAGCCCTCTGTGCCCAACTGGGCCTTCTTCAATTCCCTCCTACATGCCCCATATTCCATAAAATATATCTCATGAGTTTGGCTTTTATAGGAGGTGAGACATTCAAGAGACCTGGTCTTTTTTTTTTTTTTTTTTTTTTTTTTTTTAGTAAATTAAACAATTATTTTAAGATAAAATATGATTTATCTTTAAATAGTACTTAAAATCCAAGGTGGTGTTGTTTAACAGGCAGGTAGCTAAGCACTACACATTCATTTGCTCAATTCCCCACTTCTCACTGGAATGGGGGAGAAAATCAGGGAAAAAAAAAAACAAAACGTAGAGCTTGTGGGTTAAGATAAAACTATTTGCTAAGATGAAGAAAAGGAGAAGGATAATAGTTATGAGTATATATTTGTATGTCTTATCAATCTATATATCTACCTATAACAAGTGATGCACAAGCATATAGCTCACCATCCCCTGATGAAAGCCCAACTAGTCCCCCGAGCAGCAGAAGAGAGAAAGATGAACTTCCATCTTCAAAACTCCTTCTGCATGATGTCATATGGTATGAAATATTCCTTTGGCTAAAAGTCAGCTGTCCTAATTCTGTTTCCTTCCAGCTCCTTGGGCCCCTTGTTTCAAATAACCTTGGTTCTCTACAACACTGTTTAGCAGCAACTACAAACATTGGTGTGGTGGCAACACTTTCTATTCTCCTCCTCCCTCCCCCACCATTAAGTGCTGCTTATCTTTCTCTTCTTGTCCCTGGCTTGCAAATCTTCTGACAAAAGATTTTGCCAACTTGGACCGGGACTTGCCTTGACTTGTCCATCAGTGTTCCCCAGCAAGCTTTGAGATAAAGGTGCAAAAGAATAATCTCTTACAGCATCATACCAAACACTCTGAAGAAAACAATTCCATCCCAGATGAAAATAAGAGACAAAGGTTAGTTTGTATGGTTATCTTCATACCTAGTTTAAAGACCTTTCAATGAGTCCTGCCAGTCCCTCAGCTAAGATCCTCTTACCCCTCATAGAAAGGCTACTTCCATCTGCAGCCATCATGCCAGGTGCCGAGTAAATTGCACTGTGGTCAAAAATAAATAAATAAATAAATAAATAAATAAATAAATAAATAAATAAATAAATAAATAAATTCCTGTGTTTGCACCAAATTCTAAGACTTTTA